CAGAATGTACTTGTACAAAAAGTCAAAGCTTTAAGTCACAAGCCGTTGTGGCGTGTGCGCCTCGTCCTTTCTTCCTTTCTCGTGCAGAACAGCTCATAAAAAATTGAGTGACAAACGTTTACGCAATGTGTCTCGGCAGTAATATTTCGAGAAATACCCGCACGGTCAAAATGGAACGCAACATCAGTTTTTTTTTTTCATGGAATTGACGTAGCATAGTTCCAACAGGTGTTCATGATAATTTTACAGCAATAGAGTTTATTGATAAATAATTACGGGGCTTAATCGGTCTCCTGACCGGAGCTGCGCATGCTTTCTGAAGCGCTATTGAAAGGTGTGGCAAGCATTGCTCTAAAGCAGGACATTACTCTATGTAAACACATATGAATAACGTCGACATCAACAAGATGAATAATAAAGCATTCCCGATGTATATTTTACATGTTGCGCTTATAGAAAGTACTATCGTTGTTTATCTTATGAAAGAGTGCACGTAGGTTAAATATTACATGTTGTAAATGATTACAGGTGATGGAACAGTGTAACCTTAATAAATTGTCTCCTTTTTTCACCCACTTAAGCAACTAAGTTTGGTGGCCATTTAGCTCTTTAGTGCAGCAGATGAGGCTGCTCACAACAAGCTAATGAGTTCAAATTCAAGCATTGTCAGAAAGCGAAATCATTGAAGCTTTTGTTATCAGACGCATAAGCATGCGCAAGGGGGGGGGGGGCAGGGGGCAGCCATTCCCCCTTTTAGTCACATAAGAGGGGTTGGGGCGCATAGGCTGCCCCATACATTGACTTATTAGGGAAGGATGCTCTGCTATGAAAGAACAATCCTCGCCCCCCACCCACCACCCCCTGACGGAAACCTTGAGCACATCTATGATCAGGCGGTATACTATCACTTGAATTTGTGCGCCTCGAATTCTGCTTTCGTAGAGAGAGGTTTCTTCTCCCAATGGTAATTATTGATCTGCTCGTTTACTTTTTTTTGCATCGGCAAATTATTCATATCATCACCCCAAATATTCTTTGTCTTTCTTGTTTGATACCGTATCTAATATTTATGGAGGTCAATGAAAATGCGCGCACACCATGTGTTAGAGTAGTGACACTGCTTGCTTTGTCTGCGCGTCTACAGGTGGTGCACCGGATAAGTGCGTTTTTACGTTGACTTCCAAGTATTTATTGAAATAAAAGATTTGATTAAGCGGTCTGCTTTATTCTTCTTTAAGCCATTCTTTGCACACTTTGCGGCGTGCGGCACTTGAACTGTTGATTAAAAAACACGCGTTCACATAGATCTAGCGGTTGGGCTTCGCCGCACGCAATGTGTTACTGCGGCAAAGCACCGATATAAGACGCTCCCCCTCCTCGGTCGCGACTCTCTGCGGACGATGCTGGGCCACAGTACACGTTTCGTGGCCGCTTATCTCATCGCCACGCCGAACTCGCATCCCGCAACTCTCACGGGAACGGCACCGCTAACCCGATAACCTTGGGCAGGGCGCCTGCGCGTCATATTGCGAAACACGCGGGGACGCGCTATAGTTTCCCCCGAACATCCACTATATACACGCACACTCGCCATCGTCTGGCCTCATAATCGGTAGTTGGCCTGCAAAATGACGCGCGCACTGGCGACATGTGGCTTGCTCACCTTCATTGCTCCTCTTGTTATTACTATTATTATGATCATTTCTTTTTTTCGCTCTACCGATGTGCTTCGTCCGCGGGGAGCAAAAATGCGCACCACTAGGACGAGCAAATCAAATTAAGCGCGCGTCGCGCGCCTGCCCGCCCGCGCTATTTCGGGCAGCTCCGCACCGGCGGTGGTGGTCGTATCGACACGGGCCCATGCAATATGCAGCGGCTCGCGCTGGCCACTGGCCGCGCCGACTGATCGGCCGGAGAAGGCCTCTGCTTGCGCAACGAGGACCCTCAATCACGACGACTTCCTCGTTCGGCTCGTGGGCCATCCATAATGCAGCCACAACGGGCCAAGCGGCCGCTTGCGCCCAATTCGATTTGCGCCCGGGCTTCGCGCCATCCCAGGTGGCCGCGGTCGAGACGCCGGCGCGAGAGGGCGTAATTGGCAGCGGGCGCGAGCTCTCATTGGGCGGTGCATAGCATGACGAAGCCGCCGCCGCAACGAGCTTTCTCCGAGACGTCTCGCCCGTGTGTATACTCACGGATTGGACGAGCTCCTCCGAACTTCTGATGGGCTTCCGATCTCCTTCGCCCATCCGATTACGCTTGTGTAACTAAGTTTAGCGGGCGCCGTCACTTTCATTAAGGTTGCCCCCTATACCGCTGGCTCGCGTCTCCCCTATATCGATTTAATGTGAAGGTCGATTAAGAAGCGCTAATTATGTTATGTTACTATACCCCTCAATTCATCCCCCGATTCACTTTCAGCGAGAGCTGCACAAGATCAAAACGACGTGTTTTCACTACTTTATTTTACCACTGCCTCTTTATCTATCTATCTATCTATCTATCTATCTATCTATCTATCTATCTATCTATCTATCTATCTATCTATCTATCTATCTATCTATCTATCTATCTATCTATCTATCTATCTATCTATCTATCTATCTATCTATCTATCTATCTATCTATCTATCTATCTGTCTGTCTGTCTGTCTGTCTGTCTGTCTGTCTGTCTGTCTGTCTGTCTGTCTGTCTGTCTGTCTGTCTGTCTGTCTATCTATCTATCTATCTATCTATCTATCTATCTATCTATCTATCTATCTATCTATCTATCTATCTATCTATCTATCTATCTATCTGTCTATCTGTCTATCTGTCTGTCTATCTGTCTATCTGTCTGTCTGTCTGTCTGTCTGTCTGTCTGTCTGTCTGTCTGTCTGTCTGGTCTAGCCGCCTACGACGTTTAGCTCTCCTGGCCGTTTCGTTAATGGTATCGATTTCCACGTGTCCGATGAAGCGCGAAAGGAATTGACTCGGTTAATAATGATTCCAGAAGATGGCGGGCTGATACAGCGATCTTTCTGTGGCGATCACAGTTGCAGAATGCAAATCAATGCTGTCACGTATTTTAAGGTGATGTTGAGCTAGCGCGTTGGCAGCCGCACGTTCATTATATAGCTTGCCTTTTCCTGTGCCTGTGTAGAACTATCATCATCATCATCATCGTCATCATCATCATCATAATCATTATCACCACCACCACCACCACCACCACCACCACCACCACCACCACCACCACCACCACCACCACCACCTGAGCCTGTGTTAGCCCACTGCTGGACGCAGGCCTCTCTCACTGATCTCCAGCTTACCTCCAGCGCGACCTGAATCCAGTTTATCCCTGCGAACTTTTTTTTTTTGACCATCTGTTTAGTTTTTTTTTGTTTTGGTTACGCATAACGAAATTGAGCCGACTTGGTTCGTAGTTGTCGAGATACGCCACCAAGCCCCACACTCAAAGGAGTGGAGTACAGATCACAAGAGAGCCACGCATAATTGGTTTGCATCCTTTGGGCGTTGTCTTGTCCCAGCGAAAACAAGCACATTATCTGCGTTGCGTGCTGTACTATATATGGAACGCACTGTGCCAGCCTCGACTGACTGTTGTTTCTTCAATGCTGCGTGACAAATAATTTCAGGCTTCCTTGCGCGTTTTCTGTGTCATGCAGCATGAAAGTGTCGAGCGTATAATTTCCAGCAAGACAGACGTAAGCAAGAGAGAGCGGAACACTGTTTCAAAACAGGCACAAAACTTAATTTAAATATATTTACTCCCTTTTAGGCTTATATTGTACCCTAAAGACATTCTATTGTAATTCGCCTGGCTGGTTTTCACTCTTTTGAAAATATTGTGCTTAGTAAATACTTTCCAGTCAGGGGCAGTGGCCAAGAAGTGTTCGAGGAGAGGAGGTTTAACCACCTCTTATGTGTGTCCATGCATGCGTTTGTATGTGTGCGTGTAAGTATACACACACATATATATCTAAAAAATTCGAATAATGTGTTCATTTTCGCAAACACATCGAAACGAACACATTCTCATGAACAGTGTTCGTGTTAGCATTCGCTGTAACACGAACGCTGTTCATGATAATGAAAGTATCAAACATATAGCGTTTAAGAAAGTTGAAACGCACAGTACTGATAAATGTTATTTATCGAGTATAAGTCAAAAGGTGCAATTGCCTTTCTTGAAAACTACATGCGCAGCCTGCTTTGCGGCCATGTATGCTGCATCACAATAATAATGCTACGCCGTGGTAAATGATGCTATACGTCATGGTGATAATGCTACGTGCACGAAAAGAAGTGAACAGAAAGCTAAGTTTTTGAGGAGCAGTGCTGCCATCTGTCCAAAAAAGAAGAAAGGTCTTATTCAGAACGCAGCCTCCAAAATTAAAATGTGCACACCACCAACTTCTCGGAGGCAATTATCAAAAACTGCCGAAGAGAAGTGGATAATCTTGATGGCGCACGAGAAAAAGGACGCCACCATTACATCATCGAATAGCTACACTTATACTTTAATTATTTTGGATGACGCTACGCGACAGTAAACAATACAAGACTCTGTACCGTGAAAACAAGCAGGATTGGAAAAATTGCCGTACACCCAGCTTGTAGCTCAATGCTAGAAAAAACTTTATGTAAATTTCAAAGGAAAAATACAGAGAAAAAATAAAAGACTATCCGTATTGAAAAACTGATCCTGCTCAATTAGTCGAACCCGGTACCAAGACCTTTTTCGGGAGAGTACTTTTGGCTGTTCACCAAGAAAAGCCATCTACTTGGGTTCGGTCGGCTTTTTGAAAAGACAATCTAGCCATTTAAAGGTGAGAATGGAGGTCTAAAACGGAGATATTCAATTTCTGGCATTTGATGCAATGTCTCAGCGCTGAATGTCACAAACCGAAACTGAAACCTGCTTGGCGCTTTTCGTTTCTATGACAACGCCGCAGCGACGCCACTTGGCCATTTGCGCGTGCGTGGGATGGCTGTGCCAAAATGGTGTGGGTGTGCTCCGCGTTGAAGTTTCCTCGGCGGACTAAACTCCACACATTCTGGCGATGATTTCTTCAAACTCGCTACCCATATATGAACCAAGCACCGAGTCAGAGGCTGCCTAAATGGCGCCTTCGCTCAGGTATTTGTCCCGATCGCATTGTTTTGCGCAGATCGCAGCCGGCAACGATGTCGGTTTCGTTGATTGGGGCTATTATGTCGATTCATGACGTCCCTCGCGTAATTTACGTGGTCTCAGTTGTGTCATACACCCCGCCGATTGCACGGTTTCCCAGTGACAACATAATTTGTGTTATAAATTCTCTTCTGCATAGATACATTGCCATCGACAAAGCCACCGTTCAAACTTTGAGTGCGTGGGTGTTGGAGTCTTTCATTTACCGTAACGTAGGCACTCCATGGTGTTCCTTGTGAGCGTGCCTTCTCTTGCGTATTTGAGTATTGTAAGATTGTTACGGGATGACAGGCTGGCGGGAATTTGGTCTTTCATATTGTGCCTAGGTGGTAAAGGTATCCCGAGTTCTGGTATGCCCTGTTCCTGTCCATATTGCACCTCGGTTGACTAGGTTATCGTCGTTCTGGATATCGTGTAACTTTCATGAAGGTGTTGTACTTATTTTTGTTTGCCTTGCAGCAAAGAAGAATTAATGAGGAACTCTGACCCTTTGGTCTGGGACTTTGAAGCGTCTAGCAGTCCGAGTGAAAACACACAAAGGTAAGTTGACCAAAATGCGTGGCGAAAAATCGAAACATACTGATAATACTGACTTCTAGTGTAGATCGCTTGACTATAACTTTTCAAGTGATCATATGCTTGTAGTACCCTACATTCTAGTTTTGGTTTTATAAGTTAGCTTATACCAGCTCTTACAGCTGACATTGTGCGGTTTTCTTTTTGCGTTAACAGTTCACACATAAGTCTGCTTCCAGCCAGCTGTTTCTATCAGCTGATGATATTCACTGTGGCTGTAAAGCTTGATGCTTCATGCTTCTTCAATTCGTCCTCTGTACGCCTTCTTAGCAAGCTCTTTTCGTTCTACGTGAAGACACTATGATCACTGCACAATTTAATCGATTTCACAGTAGAAAACACAACAGTTGAGTCATTTATAAAAAAATTACAAAGCTATAAAAGTGCTATTGCAAGAATATCAGTTCAGGGCCAAAGTAACGGTTCCACATCTTAGTTTGGCACTATGTCATTGATTGTGGCTAACCTCCCTTTCCTTCTGTTTTTCTTTTCCTTCTCCTCCTCTGTCATTGATTATCATGTCGCATTACATAACCATGCATATGCGCTTTGTTTGGTGATGTTGAGAATTCTCGTTTCTATTTCCCTGAAGAAGCAGGATGCGTGCGTTCTTCATTCCTCCAGGCTACATGACGTGCTTCTTTTACCTGTACTGACAACATGGGAAGGTGTACCAGTTCAGTGAAATTCAGCACTCTGTGATCACACAACGACTGGGATAGCAGATATTCACATTTGTCTACAAGGTTCTGAAAACCATAGGCAGCTGCAACATATACATACAAAGAATATCTGCTTGTGGCCACTTTAGTGTCATACAACTGACAGCACCAGTCCTTCTACTGCCGTGAATTGATGGTTTGTCATTTTTGTAAATGACATCTTTGACTCGCCACAACACTCTGTAGGGACCATTGTAGCTCAGTAAGAGCTAAGAGTATTTGTTGGGGCAGAGAAGCTTTGCTTCTATATAGACTATATAGACTACTATATAGATAGCATCTATGTGACGTTATGGACCCACAATATGACTCCAACTTGGCGGCTGGGATGGGCATCAAGGCAGCACAATCACGGTGTGATTAACCTGCTTGACTGAGGTAACGACATTTCCAGGACGTTATTTGGTCTCTATGCATAAATAACCAAGAAACCAGCATGTGATGTACTGATAACATTATCATTACATCAGAGAATTGCTCGGAACAGCTTGTGAATGATCCTGCTGGCTGAAGGACCACTGTGGTGGCTGGTATTGAAAATTTACCAAAATGAACTTAAATTTATATAAAGCTTTGTTTCCTTCTTTTTTCACATTGTAGAATTTAAACAAAAATGTTTGTGGTATTAAGCTTTCTGCAAAGTTATTGGATAGCTGCCAGCGCATATTCTCTTGAGATTTTACTTGGCTAACCAGACAATAATTTCATTGTTTTTTTACAGGACCTGTGAACGTGTGTGGACTGCCTTAAATAGTCGTCTCTGCAATGCTTTTATTATTGTGCTCTCCGTGGCGACAGGACTTGCCATACTCCTGAAGTTACTAACAGACGTTCAGTTTGCACAGGGTATGTATATTAAGTATTTGTAGGACATTCGCTTGTGATTGTGAACATATGTCCCAAATCCATGAGAAATTAACAAATGCCATGAACGCTACCATTGCAGGATAATATATAATTTCTTGTATATGGTAGGAGCTTCCGTAGCAAGTCCTTACAAGGAAGTGTTGCAAAATTTCAGGTAACGTGGCAGTGACCCACAGACAACCTTTGCTTTCTATTTGCGATGAAGGCATTCTGTAATGGCACTCTTGACAGCAGTAATGTCCTATTCAGGCTAAAATTAAAGTTAAAGGAATGTTCATGCTGTTCCCAAGCGATAACGAAGCTGTTGGTTCTTGACGCAACAATTCTTCTCTTAATTTGCCCTGTACCCTATTTTTGGGCACTTATGTTCGTCCATGCATGTTTAAGCTCCACATACATTCAGACATGAAGCCTTAACCTATTTATTGAATTTGTTGCAGCTGTGGCTTGTCCGGATGGCTAAGTGCTGTGGCATTGTACTCGATGACCGTGAGATCATAGGTTATGATGACATGCTCATCATTATTGAATGAGAACTGCATGTGAGGGTTGTTTCACTGCATCACAGAAGGTCACTGCTCCTGTTCAACTCAATACAAATTAAAATATAGGTGCACATTGTAAGTTCCAAATATCAACAAGGTTTTGATATTGATCAAAATCCCAGGAGCCATGTGTAATAATGGAATGCCACGTGTTAAGGCATCCTAGTTTTCTTGTTTCACTATATTGGATACCGGTATTTTGCAATGAAATAATAATAAAATTGCTCTTCAGTGAATAAAGAAATAAGTGCTTGTTTCAGCTATTGCTAGACACAACCTTTCCATATAAAGGGGCTATTGGGTCTGGTGTTTCAAAGGATTGTCTGTTCCTTGCTGTGATTAGCGATGTAGTATCATAAATTTACTTTCTATCAAAACATAGCCATGCCTGTTATTCTCTTGCTTATCTCTTTTCAGATGCTGAAATCCAGCTAATGTTACAAAACTGCTCACTCAATCTGAGCACGGGGGGATCCCACAGTGCCTACCTGACAGTTGCAAAACTCGAAGCATTCGTGGCTCTTCTTAGCTCATTAACCTTGGCCGTGCTGAGCCTCTTTCTGGCTGAGGTGAGTTCATTGTTGCAGATTCATTCAGACCTTTGTTGAAGCTAGAAAAAAACAACAACAACAAAAGAACAGGCTGTGCTTTTTAAATGCTTAGTTCGTTACGTCACTTTCATCTTTGAACAAGATAACATTCAGGCCATGTGTAATAGTTATGGGTAATGGCAAAGATCGTTGATCTCATAATGCTAACGCTGTTGGTAATGTCACTGTGTTCAAGCACATTGGCGAAAAAAAAGAAAGCTGTTGGCAAGCATAACTGACTAAATTTCAATTTGTTGTTGTCTTGGATTGGTTACCTAAAAGTTGAATTGTTATACTAGGAAGCAAGACTAAGTTCAAGAGAAACAAAAATTTTGGTTCTACACCAAGCATTTAAAGACACTAAAGTAAAACAAAGATTCAGTTAATATTGATAAACTGTGCTATAAAAAAGCTAGTTATGTTAATTTCACCAGTAGGTTGAATAATAATAGAAAATGAAATCAATATTAATGTGTAATTTCTAAATTTCGCACCGAAATCTCCACATGTGATGTCATGAATTTCAAGGTGTATTTGTCGTATCACACCGCATTGGCTCACCGAAATTTACTGGAACTTCGTATGTGAGTCTCGGGCTCCCTGAAATGAAAACGTACTTAATTTTCACCGGCTGAGAACTACGTCTCTTTAAGCTACGTGTCTCTTTAAGGTACGATATCGATTAGTTCCCTCACTTGCCATGGTGAATTGTCAAACTATCTTCAAAGTGATGCTCCACTAAAATGCCACACCCAGAGGGTGACTGTAGTGTTCAATGCAGCTTTCTTGTGATAAAAATGAAGTTAAAGTTAGTTCAAGGGTGCCCATGCCACTCTACTGTTATTCTTCTATGCACTGATTATTAATGAATAAGAACATGCTTCATTCTTGATTAATTGTCACTATTAAATATTCGTATTTTACTTCTTGAATATGTCAAGAAATGGTAATTTAAGGGCTTGTTTATATTAATTGGACACAATATTTAATAGCAATCAAAAGACATTCAAGCCAGGAAAAGTATAATGGTAATTATTTGTAGTAATTCTGATATAGTAAATGTGGAAAATTTCCAACTGGATGAAATCACAACTTGCCGCTGGTACGGACTGAAGTTGCCACCATCGAATAATGCGTTTGATGTTCTACCAATCGAGCTACGACAGTGGTCATCCTGCCTGCCGTCTACTTTATCGGGTAAAAATGTGCATCTAAACTGGGGAGGGTTACTCAGTGCTGCTCTTAGTCATGACAGTGAGTACGGAAGTTTTATTTGGCCTGCTGGGGTCGCGTTGCATATGATCTTTTTTTTTTTTTAAAGCTGGCAGCTGACCAATAATCCCTTGCATACCACCTGAAAGCATGAAGCCTGCCAGAATCAGTCCCTCAGTGTCAATAAATGAAAGAATAGGAATTAAACAGGTCATTTTTTTTTTGTTAGGCTCTAAAGTTGTGAGATTGAATCCCGGCTTTGGCAGCCACATTTTTCGTGGGGGTGAAAATGTTAGAAGCGTGTTTACTTAACTTGATTGATTAATTTGTGGGGTTTAACGTCCCAAAGCCACCATATGAATATGAGAGACGCAGTAGTGAAGGGCTCCAGAAATTTCGACCACCTGGGGTTCTTTAACGTGCACCCAAATCTGAGCACACGGGCCTACGACATTTCCTCCTCCATAGGAAATGCAGCCGCTGCAGCCGGATTCGATCCAGTGACCTGCGGGTCAGCAGCTGAGTACCTTAGCCACTAGGCCACCGCGGCGGGGCACTTAAATTAGGTGCACCTTAAAGACCCTAAGGTGGTCGAAACTTCTAGAGCCCTCATAATTATATCATGGTTTTGGGCACAAAGCCATAACAATTATTAAATGCTTGTTAGACACACCTATTAACGAGAACCTACAGATGATTAAGCCAAGGTAAGTATAAGGGACATTATTAATAGTAAATATAGTAGTAATTGTAACTCCCGACGGCCTATACCAATTTAAGGTGATGCCGTTTGGGTTATGCTACGCCCTAGCCACGTTCGAGCTTATGATGGACTTGCTATTGCAAGAGTTCAAGTGGTCAACATGCCTGTGTTACCTGGATGATGTCCTTGTATATTCGCCTACATTCGAGACACACCTCTAGCGTTTGTCAGCGGTTCTAGACATCTTCCGCACTGCTAGCCTTCAACTAAACTCGACGAAATGTCGTTTCGGCCGCCAGCAGATTACGGTGTTGGGCCACCTTGTCGACGCATCAGGTGTGCAGCCTGACCCAGAGAAAATTCGTGCCGTCACGAGCTTTCCTGCACCCCAGTCTGTCAAGGATGTCTGCAGCTTTGTGGGACTCTGTTCCTATTTTAAAAGGTTTGTCAAAGATTTTGTAACGATCGCTCGACCACTCACCGACCTTCTGAAAAAAGACGCGAATTTTACATGGGGTTCCGCTCAAGCTGTCGCTTTTTCTCAACTCATCACCCTCCTCATGACTCCACCTATATTGGCCCACTTTGACCCATCCGCTCCGACTGAAGTCAGAACCGACGCGAGTCGTCACTGGATTGGAGCCGTCCTAGCTCAACGCCAGCGAGGATACGACCGAGTCATCGCCTACGCTAGCCGCCTTCTCACAGCTGCCGAGCCCAACTATTCAATAACAGAGCGTGAATGTCTTGCTCTTGTTTGGGCAGTCACGAAGTTCTGCCCATATTTATATGGCACGAGATTCTCTGTAATAACGGACCACGATGCGCTATGTTGGCTTTTGTCACTGAAGGATCCTACTGGCCAGCTCGGGCGCCGGGCTCTGCGACTGCAACAGTATACCTACACAGTGACGTACAAGTCTGGACGCCTACATCAGGACGCAGAGTACCTGTCCTGCTACCCGGTTGCTGAGTCGAGCTCTATGCCTGACATTGACACCGGGCCTTGCGTCTTTTCCCTTTCGCAAATGACATGCATTGATGACGAGCAGCGCCATGATGCGTCCTTGCATGCTATCATTGAGCGCCTCGAATCACCATCTTCCAATCAGTCCCATCGCTCATTCGTGCTCCACGATGGTGTATTATACCGCGAAAGTTTTGAGCCGGATGGACCGGCCCTGCTGCTTGTCATTCCGAAACACCCACGCTCGGAAGTTCTACATGAACTTCATGACCTTCCAACTGCTGGTCACCTTGGTGTGTCACGCACTTACGACCGAATACGCCGACGCTTCTTTTGGCTAGGGCTCGCACGCTCAGTCAGAAGGTACGTTGCGGCTTGTGAGAAATGCCAGCGTCGCAAGACACCATCGACACTTCCAGCCGGATGCCTTCAACCACTTGACATTCCGTCAGAACCGTTCCTCCGCGTTGGCCTGGACCTACTTGGCCCTTTCCCCTTGTCTTCCTTGGGTAACAAGTGGATAGCCGTGGCCACCGACTACGCCACACGTTATGCCATGACATGAGCTCTTCCAACAAGCTGCGCCACAGATGTCGCTGACTTCCTCCTCAAGGACGTGATTTTGCAACACGGAGCCCCACAACAGCTGCTTACAGACCTAGGCCGCACCTTTTTTTCGAAGGTGATAGCCGACATCTTGCAGTCCTGTCAAACGAGACGCAAGCTGACTACGTCATACCACCTGCAAACCAATGGACTCACGGAGCGTCTAAATCGAACTCTTACAGACATGCTCACTAAGTATGTTTCTACCAACCATACCGACTGGGATCTCGCGTTGCCGTACGTCACATTTGCCTACAATTCTTCTCGCCTTGACACTGCCGCTTACTCCCTATTTTTTGTGTTGTTCGGCCGAGAACCTACATTACCCCTAGATACAGTCATTCCGTCTACCGTGACACCGACCAGCGAATATGCCCTTGACGCTATCACTCGGGCTGCCCACGCACGCGAAATCACCCGCACTCGCTTCCTGGCCTCTCAAGAGAACCAGCGGCGTTTGTATGATCAACGGCATTGCGACATGCACTTCTTACCCGGTTCATTGGTGGTGCTGCTGTGGTCCCCGACACGTCAAGTCGGCTTGTCGCAAAAACTTCTGTCCCGCTAGACAGGTCCATATCGAGTCCTGCGTGAAATTACTCCTGTGACATACGAAATTCATCCATACATCTCATCCACAGCCTCATCGATACGACGTCGCGTCTTATCCGTAACAATATAAATGTTTGCATAACTACTATACTTTTCCTGCCATTATTGTCTGTTGGTTTTCATTAAAACACTTCACATATAGTTTCTCATTTTTTTTTCAGAAATCTTACTGGACATTTGTGATGTCAACTACGTGGTTATGCTTGACCCTAGAAAACACTACTGAACTGTTACAGTGCAAATAATAATACAGCTGATATGTCCATGTGATATGCGGTTTCTACCTTTCACCCCTGTTTGAGGACTGTTCAATTCTGCGACAGCATGCCAATGACAACCGCTGTATCTCCTTACTGGTTTTTGCTTTTGTGAAGTTCATGTGGATGTCACACTTTTTTTTCAAAATTGAAACTATATTTTTGTTAACAGATTTGTCTTTAGTGTGACTGTTGTTGATCTGTTTTATCTTTGACAGGTGTTGCTGAGGGCAGTTGCTGGAAAAGCTAGATTTTTTATGCAAGGTCCAGAGGTGAGTACTCGTCATTGTGCATCGCCTCGTACTAGCCACATCAGTTTAAAGAACAAAAAAATAGTTTTCCTGCAGTACGGTGAAACAATGGTGGCGTGGGACATCTGCTTAGGCGAGCAGCTTTCTGAAGCATTTTTTTTTTCTAAATGAGCCAAATGCACCTTAAGTGAAACTGAGAAAAACATACTTTTTTTTCGGCTGACAGTATGTTCATTGCCGTTATGTTCGTCTCCCTTAAATACCACAAATTTATATTGTACCTAAAATCTACATGGTGCAATATTGTCAGCATTGAGAAGTAAAATTGAGAATAAAATCAATGTAAAGCGATTCGAATGTACGATATAGGAATGTTTTGTGATCGGAATAACATAATCTTTGTACTTCATCAGTGCCATGCTTCGTAGAATGGGCGTAATGGTGATTACTAGACTTGAAGAGTGAGTGGCCCTTCCTGACAAAAAGTGCTTTATTCTGGACTGCCATCAGTGTTTTCTTGTTCTTGGCCTCTATTGAAGGCCTTGAAAAGTGCTCCAGTTCCTTTTATTCCTTGTTGCTTTGGACCACTTATTCTTCTTCATTAGAAAATAGATAGGTGCCCAACATCTTCATTTCAAATGTATTTTATTACAAATATACCATGTTGCAGCAAACGGAGGACATGATACTGTAGCACTAAACTGGAAAAGAATGACTAAAAAGGAAAAAAAAAAGAGAGGAAAGTCAGCCTTGTAGTCTCTATAGTAGAATTTTGTCATTAAACATCATGGGCTTCCGTAAGTGCCACCACGCCCTACAAAAACCTAATAGTGGAACGTAAACACTATAACAAAGCAAACTAGGACACAAACTTAACAATTTGGATGAGACCATGTTGGTTGTTTTGATGTCAATTGCTGGCACAGTGCTCGTTTTATGAATGTGGCTCAGTTTGATTAAAACAGTTCAAGTATTTGGCTCATTTTTGATTAGAAGCTGGCTTTTTGAGTTCATCTTACAATAAGGAATCGGCAAATTTTGATTAGAACTGTTCTAGGAGTTGAAGATACTTAGACGTGCTTCACATTCCCGTGAAATTTAGCCTAGTTTCGGTTTCTGCATATGGCTCTTTTTGAAGAAAAAAAGAACGCTTCATTTGTATGTTGTGTTTTAAGTGTGAATACACTTTATAAGCGACCCCAAACCATCCACCGCCGTCGGCGGCGTCTGCAGTCTTCTCTCTATCTTTAAAAAAAAGAGGACTTGGCGGGCCGCAGCGCGACGCTCTACCGAATAAGCAACGGACGCGACGCTGATATCGGTGTCAGTAACGCGCCTTATACCCCCTCCCCCTTCGCTCGCTCCTCCGCTCTCCTCGCTCGCTGCAGCTGCGCGCGCACCCCTCTCTCTCGCGCACCCGCCTTCTCTCTCAGTCTCCCGTCGAGAGCGGGTCGTGAGGGGGAGTAAAGTTAAAATCCGTTGGCATTCGCCAGTGAGTTAACGTAAACTCCCCCGTGTGATCAAATTGCGATTCCCAGGAACCATTACACCACAAAGGCACCATAGTGTGATTAATAAATATAATAGTGCGAATTAATAAATACCCCTCATAGCATCACCCCATGTATTCGCACTTAACCATGTTCACCCTCGGGGAAATGCTTGGGAGTTTTTTGATTATGCACACGTTGTGAATCATTTGATGGTCATGTACTCTAACTTTTTTTTCTTCCACTAGCACGCGGTAGCAGATTATGCGGTCTGGTTAACCTTCCTGTCTTCCCATATATCAAGGGTCTCAAACTCATCACACCTCAGCTAACGGGCCGCAGTCACAAAGTTTAGTCCCACAAAAGCTGGGACAGAAACGAAGACTAAAGAGGAGTCAAATAAAATGTCACCCAATGCTGCCACTTCATAAATATAATAATTCTGAAAGGAATTAGGTGTCAGGATTCGAGAAACATATCGATACTGATCTCAGGAATGGCTCAAATCTGGATGCCAATTGTGAAATATACAGACACGATCGTGTTTTGTCACATAAAGAGCAGCGAAGGGTGCCTCACGAAAAAAGTGCGTAGGGCCAGTGTATCTTACCGTCTTTATAGCTCACCTGAACAAAGCATAATTAATCACAATAGGCATGTAAATTATGTTACTACCCTTTAGTGAAGTCACAAGCATTTAATTCCCTGCAAAGCTGTGGACCACTAGCGAACATTATGCCGCATGTGGGCCGTGGACTTTGTGTTTGAGACCGCCGTCCTATTTCTTTCATTTCTTATGTTGGGGAACATTTATTATTGAAATTTTCAGGTGTTAAAAAAGCTTTTCTCAAGTTTATTCGCTATGTTGCAAGCACACATTAGAAGTTTGCACCTGCACTAAGCTTGTAGCAAGCCATTGAAGAATAGGGAAGGGGACGAGAATGCAACGGGGTTTACGTGCGCACACTTTAAACTGACTTATTGTGGTTATGTGCACACAGTATGCATATAAAGCAGTTTATTCTACGCAAGTGCAGTCTAGAACTGCGAAGTAGCCGTGATAGCTTAGCAGTTGAGGAACATGTGCATGGCAAAGCGCCATGCTTTACATGTGATAAAACAGTTTGTTAACTCTATACCGCCTGTCAGAAAGGCAGCTTATGGCCGATTGTCTTATGACCGAACCCGTAAGAGCTCAATGTGTTACAAAAAAAGTAGCATAAACCTAATGTGAATGCACATAAGATGCAACATCAGCGGTTATTCTACCTATAGAAATATTCAATAGTGTGGTACCCTAAGGGTAAAAACTATAATATGACCTTTTGGTATTGATAAACTGAGAGACAATTCAAGCTGATGTGAGAAGCAGGCACTCCTCACTACCTGCTCTTTCAGTAGTGAAAAGTACAAAAGCTTCGCTGTCTTATCAGACTACCAAGCATGTACTATGTGTCAGCCGTAGCTTGCGCATAGTTTTTATGTTATGCCATTGTGCCCTGCTCACAGGTGCTGGATGCAGTTGTGGTGGTTGTGGCATTTGGCCTCAATGTGGCCTCACGGGTCTCGCCGGACAAAGGCAGGCAAGCCGGTGCTCTCGTCATCTTGCTGCGAGTCTGGAGAATACACAGGGTTCTCGACAGTGAGTACATGTGGTTGCATTTGTCACAATGATTTACAAACTGCTCTTTTGGAATGTCTTGGTCTGCCTGCGCTCTAGAAACACTGCACAATTATATAATGATTCGTTAAAAAGCTTTTAGTGGTAGTATGATATATTACTGAGTGAAGCTCAGGAAGAGCTCGAAGTTTTCAAATAAACTCGCTGTGATGGTATTGCGGTAATAGTACTTGACTGCTCAATGAAAAGTCGTGGGATCGAATCCTGGCTGCATAAGCCACATTTCAGTAGCGGCAAATGCTAAAGGCCCATGTGCTTAGACTTGAGTGCACGTTCAAGAAGTCCAGCTGGTCGTAATTTCTGGAGCCCTCTGCTACAACATCTCTAATAATCATATTGCCGTTATTAAACATAAAACCGAGACAGTACGTATTGCTAATGTTTTCATATGTCATTCAACAATAGATTTCATTCACCGAGAGTCTTCGTTTTCTACTGCAGAATGTTTTGGTAATCCTTGTTAATTTTTTACTTCTGTGTTTTTATATTTCTTTCAGTATGATTTATTTCAATATGCCTTCACTTTATTTTTAGACATATTTGGACCTGTAGGCAATCAGGCAGGTTTACAGCTGTGCAAAGAACCATTAAAGGGGCCCTGCAACACTTGTTTCATGCTAATGTTTACAGTTCACATCAACTGCAGTGGTGTTTTGTTGGATGAGAGAGAGAGAAACAACATTTACTTACACATCCGGTGTGCGGGAAGTCACCGGCCACGCAGGGCGCTGGTATTCCATAGGCTATTCCATATTCTATGGCTAATAGAGTCCTATAGCCCAGGGCCTTGATCTTGAGGACGATGCCTGTGTCATTTACCTATTTGAAGTTGGCCAAGAAGGCTATTGACGATGTGGAGAATACAATCAAATCCTTGTTCTGTTTGTTTACTTGTACTTCTGTGAGCCATGATTTTTCCTATGCTTGGAAACGTATGTTGGAAACTAATGGCAGCGACCCTATAGCTATGGTGTAAAGTCTTCCAGAGAAGAAAAAGGTTAATTAAAATTTCAGAGACCCGTTGTGGTGATCTAAGGATTAAGGCACTCGGCTGTCGACCTGAAGGTTGCGGGATCGCATCTGCATTTTCGATTGGGGTGAAAATACTTGAGCCTTGCGTGTGCCTATATTTAAGTGCACTTCAAAGAACCCCAGCTAGTCATAATTTCTGTAGCCCTCCACAGCGGCGTCTCATAATCACATGATGGTTTTGGGATGTTAAAACTCTACAATTAATATTAAATTTCACAAAGAAATCAATTTAACATGTACTTTAAGTGCCAAATAAACCCAAGATCTGCTAGATGTAAGAAACTTGGCCATCATTCATTTACCCATTCTATAATTATGTGATGGACTTCTTTTACTAGTAGCATTAAATAGCTCTTTTGTAAAACGCCTGAGGCACATGCACTGTGCTCTGTCGGTACTCATTCATCATCATCATCATCATCATGACCATCATCATCATCAGCCTGACTACACCACTGCAGGACAAAGGCCTCTCCCATGTTTCGCCAGTTAACTCAGTCCTGTGCTTGCTGCTGCCAATTTATATCCGCAAACTTCTTAATCTCATCTGCCCACCTAACCTTCTCTCTCCCCCTAAACTGCTTGCCTTCTCTAGGAATCCAGTTAGTTACCCTTAATGACCAGCGGTTATCCTGTCTACGTGCTACATGCCCGGCCCATGTCCATTTCCTCTTCTTGATTTCGACTGTGATATCCTTAACCCCAGTTTGTTCCCTAATCCACTCTGCTGTCTTCTTGTCTCTTAAGGTTACACCTACCATTTTCCTTTCCATTGCTCGCTGCGTCGTCCTCAATTTAAGGTGAACCCTCTTTGTAAGTCTCCAGGTTTCTGCTCCGTAGCTAAGTACCAGCAAGATGCAGCTGTTATATACCTTCCTCTTGAGGGATAGTGGCAATCTAATTGTCATGATTTGAGAGTGCTTGCCAAATGTGCTCCACCCTATTCTTATTCTTCTAGTTACTTCAGTCTCGTTGTTCGGCTCCGCAGTTATTACCTGTCCTAAGTAGACAGTCTTCTACAACTTCAAGTGCACTATTACTTATCACGAAGCGCTGTTCTCTTCCGAGGCTGTTGTACATTACTTTCATTTTCTGCAGATTAATTTTAAGACCTACTTTTCTGCTCTGCTTGTGTAACTCCATAATCATGAGTTGCGATTCGTCCCCTGAGTTACTCAGCTACGGTATGAAATATCATCGGTGAAGCGCAGGTTACTAAGGTACTCTCCATTAACTCTTATGTCTAACTGTTCCCATTCTAGGCCTCTGAAAACCTCCTGTGAGCACATGGTAATTATCATTGGGGAGAATGTATCCCTCTGCCTTACACCCTTCTTGATTGGTATTTTGTTGCTTTCTTTGTGAAGCACTATGGTAGCAGTTGATCCCCTGTAGATTTCCTCCAGGATGTTTATATATGCTTCATCGACGCCCAGATTCCGCAGTGTCTGCATGACTGCTGATATTTCTACTGAGTCAAAAGCCTTCTCGTAATCTATGAAGCCTATGTATAGTGGTTGGCTATAATCTGAGCATTTCTCTACTACCTGATTGATAGTATGACTGTGGTCGATTGTTGAGTAGCCTGTTCAAAGCACCGGCGTAGCTCAGTGGCAGAATACTGGGCTGGTACCCATGATTGATATGTGGGGTTTAATGTCCCAAAACCACCATGTAATTATGAGAGACGCCGTAGTAGAAGCCTTCGGAAATTTCGACCACCCGGGTTCCTCAACAAGCACCCAAGTCTGAGCACACAGGCCGCCGCAGCCGGGATTCGATCCTGCGACCTGCGGGTCAGCAGGATGTACAACTGCGCGTGACCTGAGTTGTGATCTCATAACAGCTTTCGCTGTAAAACGATACATTCACTGCGTAGTACGTGAAAACTTACGTGGACTAATTCGTAGCGCTGAAGAGCACCGATCTTTTAAATATGAATCCATCTAATCTTCAACATCCTCCAGTCAGTGCACATTAAGGATCACCAATCAAATGGTTGAAATTTCCGGAGCCGTGCACTACAGCATGCCTCATAACCATATCAAGGTTCTGGCACATGATACCTCAGAAATTATTATTAATAAAATCTTCTTTGCACTGCCAGAGTACAACTTGACAGAGCACTGCGTATAAAATCACCCAAGCATGTTCAAATGGGGAAAAACTTTCTTCTTAGGTTTAGTGGATGTGGAGCGCACCCGCCTAAACTATGTCCTGAGTGAACAAGAACGAGAGCGCACCCTGGCCCAGAATAAGGGCGAGCTGCTCATCCTCCGAGTAGAAGACCTTGAGGTAAGCACTTCGCGTAGTGATCTCCATAGAGCCTCACTTTAACAAGCCTCGTGACATCTTTGCATCGAGTATTATCCTCTTTACTACTGAACAAAGATCTAGGCAAGAAAAAGAGATGCAGCTTGCAAAATCTTGTTTCGTGTAGCCCTACTAGTGTAAATACAAAATAAACATAGCGGCAAAAATTTCATTTTCAAAGGGCAAAAATCAATATCCTCATACAGGGACTTTAGTTGCAAGTATGGCAATAACATTGCCGATAAATATGCATTCTGCCTTTCAGTGCTTCAGATATTTTTTAAATGATTCGCAAAGACCAATAGTGTAACTTTCAGTTGCTTTGTTATGTTGGGTTTTATTGCACAAAAGCAGCAAGGCTACACTGTGCCTTTTGTTCACACTACTTTCTGTGAAAAAAAGAATCTGTTGCAAGACTTTATATACGCAGTTAGGCCTGAGGAGGCACCGGCAGAATAATCTAACCCATCCCTATTTCATTTTCTTTGTACATGAATCACTAACATTCACCTCTGCTGCACACTATTGAAGTATGGAAAAAGAACACTCTGGGTGGCAAGGCACTGAGTTTTCTATGACATTGAACAATTTGCTGCTGCGTAATAGTGTTTCAGAAGTCATGATCATGATGGTGGATGCAGGTAGCATAGAGGTGATATTTCTTGAAAATTCACTCAAACCAGTACCTTACTTATGTATTCTCCAAAAGTGACGAACACACTAGAAATCCAAAAATTGCAGATGTTCAGGAGATGATGGTATGTTGATAACAAAACATTTTTGTAAACAGGGCAGCATTTTTAAACGTTGTATCCTGCCACACCCGGTGCTCAAGAAACGCACTAGAGGGGTACAATAATGCCTCACAGTGACTATATTCATCAGGATATTTTTCACAAGTACTTAAAAATATTCATATGCGAAGAGCAAAATGTTTTTATTTCTCATTCTTCTTCAAGTGCCGTAATCATCTAGTGGTCACGGTGCTTGATACAAAGGTCATGTGTTTGAATCATAGTCACATAGTCACTTATCATCAGTTTGAATTCTAGTCAGATTGGCCGCATTTCCATGGAGGCCAAATTCTAGAGGCCCACGTGATTAGACCTCGCTGCACATTACAGAACTCCAGGTGGTCAAAAATTTTGGAGCCCTCCACATTGGCATCTCTCATGAACATGTGGTATTGGGACGTAAAAGTTGAACAATTATTATTATATTACCTCATTCTTCATATCTCAACTGAGTCTTGTAGCAGTACTTGCTTAAGATCGTGATATTGTTAAGGATCTAATTTCGAATAAATTTTGGTGTTGGTATCGGCATCATTGGTTGTGATGCAGATAAAGTAAACAACAAACATCTTCAGTTCAAATTAGAATTGAACCCAGACCTGCTTTGTGGCAAGCAGGTATTCTACAGCAGAGCCGTGCCATTTCTTGAAACTGCTTTGCACGCACACACGTGCACATATACACATGGCGATGTGAATGTCATGTAGTGGGAGGAGTCTCTGTAAAGTCCTTAAAGCATGTACTATTGCGTGTAATATTAAAACATGTAATATTATGTTATAGTTTATTAAAGCATGTAATAATATTAGATGACAGAAATGCAAAATAGCACCGCGCGTGAAAACCGGTGTATTGTGCAAGGTTGTTTTAAAGGAGCCCTGCATAACTTTTTCACGTAACCATTGAAGGGCGTCAGTAAAGAATTCATTGCTTGACAAATCAGCAGTCATGAAAATTTTTATAATTGGTTAAGTACGAGCAAAGTTATAAAGAATTTTAGTAAACTGTAATTGCTTGCTCTCTTCTCTCATTATGGCGTCGGCGAGCGTGCTGTAAGCTAAGGGGGAGGGGGGCGTATCACGTGGGAAAAAAAAATATGTCTCACGCATTCATTCTGGCTTCGAATGTTTTTTTTTATTCGAATGTGTGCCTTACTTTGAGTGTGATTGCCAGTGCACACACGTCATGGCTTTTTGCAATGGTTGCAGTAACTTCGCAGTTCACAATGCTCAAATCAACCAGTGGCTTGAAATTTGGGTATGTAGAACGATTATTTGAGTATATGGTATCATTTCCAGAAAGAAGAGAGAACGATTACTAGCCCACTTTGAGAATTGAATGCAAATTTATGACCATGTGCTGCGCTCTTTTTGGTTCACATGTTCTTAGGAGCCTTCACTATCAATTAGTAGCATCTTCTGACCATGCTGTAAAAGCTTTGCCTGGCTCCTTTGAAGGCCCACCCATTACAAAGCACTCAGACATATTTGAATATTATCTGCAAAAGCACCAACAAAGTGAGCAGTTGTGTAGATTTTTGTGCTGCCTTACGAATGCATTGTGTTTCCTTCGCTGATTTGCAAAAAAAAGAATTAGGGCAAAGTTGGCACCCTAAAGGTGCACTTTCAGTAGGTATTCCAGGATAGTTTAAAATAGCCACTGTTATGTACACAGAAGACCATTTCCCTTGCGGCACGGTTGAGGCATCCACTGGGAACCGAAGCTTGACTAGCAGTTGAGAAGGAGATGTGCATGGAGCCCGATATCGTACTTCATTCTTCTCTTGAAGGCGGAGCTGAGGAATTTTTCAAGTTTTCTATTTTCTTTGTTTTTGTTCCTTGTGTGGTGCACTTATAGCAGCCCTTAAAAGCTTCTACCTCAACAAAGACATCGGAGTGCGAAAAAAGAGAAGTGACAGAGCAGCGGCAGGACATGATAATCGCCACTTCCATGTTTCTTAAAAGACCTGAAGAGTGAGCATGTGTGCATAAGCTTTTACTTTATACTGACCCATTGTCCTAAAACGGAGCTGTGATGCATATGTTTGTGATGCTATTAGCAAGATAGATTGCATTGCAAACACTTTCTTGCTACGGGCAGATGAAGATGCAGCGCCATGATGCTCGCAAATTCTGCTTGTTTTCCCACTACACAGCATGAAGTGGCCTACCTGAAAGAAAAGCTGAAGAAGACTGAAAAGGAGCAGGGGCGGCGGCAGCGGCGGCAACAGCGGGATTCGGGTTCTTCCTCTTCTTCATCGGGCGTTTGCTGTCGACATCCAGTCACCATAGGAGTGGAAACCTGTCCTGTCATCAGGGCCTGCAAGGAAACGCAGACTGATGCACCAGTTCAGCTGTGTGAAGTTGCGGTTGGTCACCACATTAAACAAGCAGGTGAGGTGAAATATGGAGTTTGAGTTTGTCACTGGTCCCGTTAATTAGGGAGGCAATCGCCAGGCTAAATTCAAGGGCCGACATATCAGCCCCCTGAACTGCACCACGAAAGGACGGACAATTTAGATTTGGTCCTATTGGGTGCGCCAGCTGTGGTTCAGCTGCCTGACCCGCAGGTCGCGGGTTCGAATCCCGGCTGCGGCGGCTGCATTTCCGATGGAGGCGGAAATGTTGGAGGCCCGTGTACTCAGATTTGGGTGCACGTTAAAGAACCCCAGGTGGTCAAAATTTCCGGAGCCCTCCACTACGGCGTCTCTCATAATCAAATGGTGGTTTTGGGACGTTAAACCCCACAAATCAATCAATCAATGTGGTTCAGCTGTGGTCCAACGCAGGCTTTGGTCCAAAGAACAAGTCAGAGCCGAGAGTTGATAACTAACAAAAATATGTTCTCAAATGCAGCAGATCAAACAATGCACAAATATGCGCACTCGGCAATAGTCCAATACAATATATCACCAATCGCAAGATACTCAGACCAACGGGCTACCTAACACAGCAAGGTATACTAAGAACAACGGGCACAGATAACAAGACATGCTACAATGCAATCTCATGCACTAACCAAGACACTTAAAGACTAAAAAGTTTGTCAAACTTATTCAGGCTAACGTTCTTAAAACAAAGTTTGAATGATTCTCTTCAAGCAACCACTCACTCAAAGTCCAGCGCTGCTGTCGTTTCGCTGCCCCCGAAGTTTCTCTTCTAGGAAACCTCGCGCCGTCAAATGTCTTCACTCCCATAAGAAGACTTCTTCGCTGGTAACACGTCGGCCACTCATGCGCTGCGATGGCAGAAGGCGTCTTCGGCCACTGGTGGTAAACACACACCTTTCATCTGCTTGTAGCACAAGCCTTCACCCGCAGATTCAAAACCTTTTCATCTCCTGCTTTGTCACTGAGAACATCTGCCTTCGCCCGACAGCGGAAAAACTATCTTCATCTCCTCATCACTACTCTCCGCTTTTTACTTAAATACATTCGCCCTAGGTTCTAGGCGTTTCTAGTCGTTTCGTCAGTGCATCGCGCGGTCAAAGCTGTGGAAAGGGGGATACCTCTCTCGTAAGGTGATGCAACTGATTTATTAATGTCCTGTCATAATTAGTCTGATGACTGTCTTGATTTCAATATGTAAGTAGGTGTTTATTCCATTTTCGTTCTCTCGTGCATTGTAACGGTTTAGTGCGGTTATTTCATGCACTGAAATGTTTCTTTGCCGATTCTTTATCACATTAGATTGTAAAAACTTTAGTTAATTCTTTATTGATATTGTATAACTTTCTTAGTTACACTTTTCCGAAGTGCCTTAATAAAATCTTTCTTTTTTGGACCCAAACTAGCCTATGGCTATGGGTCCACGCAGTGTATGCAAATTTTTTTGTAAAAAGTGTGACCAATAAAATTCAATTCAAATTAAAAAACTCTGCATCACCACGCCCCTTTTGTCTGAGAGTTTTCCAGACATCGCTCCGCGACAGATGCGAGGAGGTTGGTCGGCGAAACGGCGCTTCTGAGGGGGCGAGACGGCATGCCCGAGGAGTCTTTTGATGCTTGTTTTCTTCTTTTAGGCTGGCGTCATGGGCGTCAGTCTGGCGTCTAGATCTTCCGCAGCGGTCAGAATTCGGAGGCGCGTGCCTTTTTCAGTGCTCGTTTGTGTCAGAGTTTACCTAGGTTAGGACTGACAAATTATCTCTAGGAAGTTAGGTTCTTTATGGCACAATGAAAAAATAATATTTGGAAGTGTATGTTTGTAGCAGTTGCTCCTAAAAAAGCTTCTGAATATTTAGTAAAGTTCTAGCTCTGTTCTATAGTGTTTATACTGCTGATTACTGCTATAGGCTGTTTCCGGCTTTACTGGTAGCCTAAAAATTGTGGCACAATTCATAAAATGCTCATCTAGTATGCTTCACATGCACATTAAGAGAAAATTTGGGGGTTACTTAGAGTGTTTAGTGTTCCATTTATTACAAACACATATCTAATTTGTCACAAAGTAATGTATTTGTGTTGGGTCATGAAATGGTGCACCTTTGTACTAACACATTTTAAATTTTTTTCTCAGTAATATTTTTTCATGAGCACTGTGGTTGTGTTGTCTTTTCGTCCTCTTTATCTTCTTCCATTTTCTTGTCTGCAATGTTTTTTCTTTTCACTACCTGTTATTATTGCGACAGAAAGTCTGCCGTTATCTCCAGTGTCCTTGCCACCTTGCTGTGTCTTATACAATCCAAACGCTAAATTTCACAAAATCTCTTTTGCATACACCTAGGAGTAATCTTCTTATTTTTCTTCTCAGTCGATGTAGGGATTGATCCTCCACCTCACTCCCGAAAGTTATCTGCTTCTCACGTGGTTTTACACTGCGTTCGCGATTGACCCACCTTTGACCAAGTGACGATGTCGTGTAATGACATTATCATGCGAGATCACTAATTTTGTTTGACCCAACCTTAATGAAAACCAGCAGATGATGACTTCTCTTAATCACCAATTTTGGTGATCTGTGATGTCGTGACGTCACATGGTGACGCCATCATGTGATGACGATTTTTCGCATCACTCGTGTTGGCGCCACCACTAACACTGATGGTTACTTTTTTCGTGTGATAGGGCAGCTAAAGCCTTCTCCTTAATAAGATCCTATTTTGGCCTGCATACGGTACATTGTGGGAAAAGAGGGAGGCATTTGAGGGGTCATGTTATTTTTGCATGTTGTGCAGTAGGGTTTATGGAATAGATGTGACTGTGCTGTAGGGGCACAAGAGGGGAGCTTACACAAGGTGGCCGGTGCGTGGGGTGTATATGTGAAGTGTGGCTCTCCTCTTCTAGTCAATGGTGTGGTAGTGTCATGGCCGTTGCATGATCCTTTTAGGGGGGGGGGGGGGATGATGTTGCCACAGGAGGGATTAGCCTAGCAGACCTGGCCAGCAATGGGTCCTCTTAAATCTTATAATGCGGTAGTGTTTGCAAAGAGGCTGGTTGCCTTTTGTGTGCTGTCTCTACGTGACTAATGTCGGAAGTCATGTGATTTCATAGAACTGAGAGGAAGTGCGAAGCATTTGCTACTTTTTCATGTTATTTGTCATTCCACTGATTCCAGCACTGCAAAAATAAATGCTTGTGGCCTGGCAGCATTACTCATTCGTGTTTGCCTGTGCATCTGAGCCGCTGAGCCCATTGATGAGCAAATGAAGGTTTACTGCATTATGCAAGGGATGATGTAAAATATGTACCTTTTGTATTCTAATTAGAATTTTGAGAGTGATACAAATTTAGTTATTGAAGTGCAACTGCAAATCAAATAGTATATTTTTCAAATATTTCTAAAATATTTTTCCAAGACTACGAAGTGAAATTGTCAAAAAGAACGTTGGAGAGGATTCCTAAGCATATTCCTATGGGATGGCTAGGATAATTAAGCGCTGGCCGGGTAGTGTTTCATAGTTGTCTTATCAAGAATGAGACAACTGCAGAGGCTGAATCGAAATGAAGTATATTAACTGATGAAGTACATTTGGGGCAACCAAAGTGTTGCCGAAAACACTTTACATGTAGAAGGCAAAGCTGCTATTTTGTCAGCATCTCCATGTTTTTCAAATTCTGTGGAAGCCCAACTGATGAGTCTGCAGTTCCATATCTGTCTCACAGATATCAATATATAAGAAGATGTGGAAATTTGATGCTAAAAATCTTTGGCATCTGAATTTCTGGATTTCCTGCCCATACTTAAGGTCCAAAACAGCATTATTTGAGCCCCCACCCCAGCCTTATCTATGACCTCCATGTTGGAACCAGCGTTTTCCTCAGCCAATACAATTGCACCCGTAATAAAGCTTGAAAGACAGCTTTGCTGCAATACGAGATTCTAATGAGGTGAAGCGTATTAAAAACTTGAAAGGTCATTTTTAATTAGGCATTGACTGTATTTATCGTTGGGAAGTTCGAATAGCTCAAGTTGTAAAAATTTCTGTGTGAATCAAATCAAACAGCAAGCTCTATTTGAAAAATTTTGAATATTCTCACACCCCTCATTCTAGTTCATTGTGGTTTTTAATTGTTTGCCTCTCAAATGAAACTGGCACTTTCTGGTGTGACCTGTCACTAAGTAGGCATCTTCATATCCGTATCCCCTGCAATACTTGTTGTCCCGTGGAGACCATGAGTTTAAAGTTAAAAGGTATTTCCCCAGGACAAGTCCTTATAAACTTTTTCTTTCCACGTACCATACAGGATTGGAATTTGTTGCTACCTGTAGTTGTGAGCCAAAACTCTGCTGATTTGTGAAAGCATCGATACGCTGCTATACTCGGGGACAACTTTCTGTGCCAACGAAAGGAAGGCTACGGAACCAAAGTGGGCGTGTGCCACCACTGAAGAATACGGTCCCACAAATGCATCTGTGTTTTCCGTGTGAAGAGAATGAGAAACAACATTACTTTATTTTCTACAGGATGCTGTTTATAAAGAGGCGCTGCATAAACCAAGAAGATATTTACATCAGTCTTCCTTCATGAAGTGTCATTTCATGTTTTTGCATGTCCGAAAACGTCGCACGTTTTAGGTGCACCTCACAGTCGAAATGACGTCTTCGTCTTTAGGTGAGTGCTCGTAGCCCCCCTGTTATTTCGACGACTCCCCGAAGGAGCTTGTGTTGAATTTCACTCACAACAGCTGGGTAAGCAGATGTAGCGAATTCTATGCTGTAGTATGTTGTTTATTATTCGAACACTGCCGGCATTCAAAAAGCGAGTCGAGTCGGACTTCTTGGTGGAGGACTACATGTGCTGTAGCTCTGCCCCCGTAGCTTTTTCTTCATTGCCACAGAAAGCTGTCCCTGAGTATAGTTACAGAGCAAGAAAGGGTGGGGCAAAGGTGCCTGTCTAAATCGCCAATTTTCCTGTAGCTTCTTTTCCTTTTCCCGTCCTTTTCTGAGCTGTTAATATGAACTCTGTTGATCTGTTTTATAGTATGCTATGTCCCTCACATATATGCATTTAGCAATGCGAGAATTGTCTAAATAAAGATACCAGGCTAACTTTCCATACTTCCATGTCTCACGCTTGAACAACTGTATTCTTTTTTTACCCTTTACAGGCCTGGAAGCTTTTGCCTCGAGTCTTTCGTGGGGTCTGCTTTGGGATGCCCTGTCTGTCCGGCATAACAGGCCGCCTGAACGGCTGACCCTTCGTGAGCCGCCAAAAGCTCCTCCTGAGCTGCCGAAACAGCCAATTCGAGCGTGCTCAAATCAATCTGTGAGTCTCGCGGAAGGTAGTCCTGCAGCTGTCGCGCACCGCCGTGCCAGCCACACAGTCCTCTTCAGCAGCCTGGATCGCTTCAGTGAGTCTGAGCACACTGAAAGTCCCGAGAGTGGCTATGGATCTGGCTGCAGGTCGGCCACCTCCTTAGGCAGTTCTGCCATGAGCCGGCCCCTGAGCAGCCGATCAGCCAGCGTGTTTTTGTTTCCCGATGCCGATGGGCAGCCTACCCTCGAGATGAGCACATTGGACGAGGTTCTGGAAGCCGAACCTCAAGTACCGGTGCACTTGGAAAATCTCAATGATGTGAGTGTGCAGTGGGATTGTGTGGTTGCTAGACCTGTTATAGAACTTGGTGGTTATATATTATAGCGAAACAAAATTCATGCCCTTGAGTTCAAATGGCAACTCCTCACAGGCGTAGGGTAGTTCCAGTTGTGGCAAGATAAGCTGTTTTTGGGCTATTTAGTTGTTACTTGAACCCACTGTAGTGTGAATAGCAGATGCATTGCAAGACAATATCATCACCAAGGTCGCTGCATGTGCAAAACATCTTTTCTGTGTCAGGCTTTGGTGCCACACCTCTGCAGATTTTATTGCCCTCTTTTGTTTTGTGTACTTCCAAGCACACACAACAAAAGGTCGAATAAGACCATATGACTGGAGTTTGTGTGGGTGAGGAGACCCAGTGTTTCTCTTTTATATAATGTGCTAGCAGCAAGCAGTCATTAAAGGAGTACCATCACAAAAAACTATGGACGATCCCCCTGAAGGGAACCCTGATGGAATGCAAAGCAGCAGCGGTGCGCACGGCATTCACCTGGGCGTCCACGCAGGTGCTGGAAGAATGTTTTGAAGCGAAACTCGGTGTAGCGTTTACTCGAGTAAACATTTGTTTGAAACGCAACGACACGGGAGGTGGGACGCGTTGAAGACGCTTGCGGTCGATTTTCTTGCTTGCGTCTCGTCGGTGTTACCCGCGCGCCGTCTCTATTCTCGAACCCGATCGGTGTTCTTGACTTGCACCTCGTCGGTGTGCTGGTCTACTGCCAACGCTTGCGTTCGGCTTCCCTGGCTTGCGCCTTGTTGGTGTTTACGTCACCATTCACGAACGCGATCGGCTTCACTAACCCTCGCAACGCCGGTGATGGCCTAGAAAAGTACGCGCACATTAGCAGGAAGCATGCCCCGACGGCTTCCCGCTTGTCGGCTCAATTGCGTGGCAGGCAGCGGCGCGCTGTCCACATTTTCGGCGCCCCGAGATTCTCGAGACACACACAGCGCACGCACTTGCAGTGCGCACGCTGCAAGATGGGAGAGAGGTGGTGTGGGTGGGACGATGCCCACGTGAGGAGTGGGCTCGAGCGTTGCAAGCGGTGGAGAGGGTGAAGCGAGAGAGAGCTGACACAGGCCGAAGGTAGCAGGGAAGTAAAAGAGATGTCATCCCGCACTGCTAGGAAGACGTGAGCTACTTGGCACTGCTCCAACACCTGCGGCGAGTGGAGCGGTACGGACAGAGAGACAGGGTTACACAGGCTAGTCAAAGAGCTGCTTCACATTTAAAAATTGAGAAAGCTTGCCCAAAGCACTAAACCAGGCTCTAGCTAGGTGATGCTCGGTTGTTACTTCTACGTTAATTCTCAGTGCAGAGAGGTTTGAATTAAGCCACACGCTGTCAAACACAACACAGATGTCCTAACTCCAGATACAGAAACTTGCACTGAAACCAAGTGTTCACACCTCTCATACAGTCACAGATAGGACAGATACAGTCACAGGAGTGACAAACTCGCGCCAAGACCAAGTATTTGTAGCACTTGTAGGTTTACGAACACGTCGCCATCGGCATAGGCCTTCCGTTGCTTCGGCGTTTTCTCGCAGCCACCGTTGCCTTTCTAGTTTAGGCCTAGTGTTGGGCTAGCAGTTGCCCTCTTTCTTTTTAGTAGACCCATCAGGGGTGAGTAGCAGGATCTGCCCAATTTCTGTGGCACGTACCCGTTCATGATGATGATATTTTCTCACAGCTGCCATTGTCTTTCCCATTTCCTTGAGTTGGGCTAATTGTTGGAGTAGTGAAACTTACCCGATTTCTGTGGCACCTACCTCTTTATGAATCATTGTACAGCACACACATTACAGCAGCTTAAACAGCTTCGGCATTAAAAGTTTGAACACAATATAACTGTTTACATCCCGTCGCTGGGATGATATGTGTCATCTGCATAGGTCGGCCAACTCACTCGTGAGTTGACTCACCTAGACTTGGATCGGCTCATGAGTCTGAGTCTGGGTAAGCCCGAATGAGTAATTTCTTGGCGAGTGTGAGTCCAGTGGAGGAAAACTTAACTGAGCCTTAGTCTGAGCGAGTCTGGTTGAGGAAAAACTTCAATAGTCAAGGTCCGAGTGAGCCTTAAGCACAAACTATATTTTCTGAGTGAGTCTGAGTGACCTCCACCTTTTACTGCGACCTATGGTCCTGTCTACTCAAATTGAAACCACTGACAGCTCTCATTTTAAGGTACATGATCAAAATGTGTATCGTAGAGTGCCAATTATATGAGATAATGGCATTAAAGCGCATTCACACGATGATCGAAAAAGCTAATTTTACACAAATGAATTCGTGAGCCGACTCTTTCAGGCTCACTCATACTCAAGTCAGGCCACAAGTCTTCTTCTGAGGCCTGTATTCACAAAATAACCTTGGCCCTACCTCATGTTTACCTGAAGTTTCTGTACTCACCACATGCATTATAAGGGTACAAAGATGGTAACCGGGTAAAGGATAACAAGATTGGTTCATGGATACTGGCCTACTTTTTTCATCAAGTGTAATAAAGGTTTAAATCCGATAAGGAAAACTCGAGGTAAGCATGAAGTTGGTTTGTCAATACGCGCCTGGGTGGGTCTGGCTGAGTAGTATTACTCAGCCGGACCCTAATGAGACCCTAAAGTACTAATGAGAAAGTTTGATGAAGTTGGATTAAAGCCCGATTAAGAAAAGCTTGGCGAGTCTTAGTCTGAGTGAGTCCAGTTCAGGAAAACTTTCGTAAGGCTGAGTGTGAGTGAGCCCCAAGAGCGAAATATATTTTGTGGGTAAGTTTGAGTGAACTCCAATTTTCTTGCCAACCTATGGTCATCCCTACAGTATCAGCCATAAATTCAGCCTAAAAAGTATTTCAGCTGAGTTTTAAAGTTCATGCAAGTACTGAATGTGAAAGTGTAGTCGTGGAGGCATCAGCCTTGGAGCTAATTGTAAACAATGTACGTCATGAGTTTTGATATTTCATTCCACTGACATGAGACATCACTTGTTTATTTCTAAGCCTTTATACTGTTGTGGTACAACTTACACTTCAAGGGGGCCTTGCAACATTTTAAAATTCCAAGTGTAATGATAAAGTGATCTCAGGATTGAAAGTTTGTTGCCTCGCAAATTGATTGCCGCTAAAGATTTTAAAATCTATTAAGTGTGAGTGAAGTTGCAGGTATTTATTGCATGCTTTAAAGGGATACTGAACAGAAATTGGAAAAAACTGATGAAAATTCGAAATCCGACTCGAACGATGCCACTGTTCTGATGAAGGGAGTTAATTTCCCGTATTTTTGACAGTTGCTTGTATTTTTGTTTGATAGTCGGCACAGAGCAGCTGCTCGCGTGCACAAGCTGTGACGTCACAGCCAATGAGGAGCATGCAGGATGCACATCTTCCTGTCCTCCTCTTCCTTTTCTCCACCTCTCCTCTCATCCCACTTTTTCCATTTCACAAAAGCACCGGTGCTCTGCCCCAGCCGGAAGCATTGTTCGCTGCTGTTGCTGCTCATACTGGTTTCGGGGAATTGAAGTGGGAGTTGAGCAAGTCGACAGAGGTGGGCCACGGCTGGCATTGTTAATTAGCCCGTTTTGGGTGTGTGTCACCAAACGTCACCTTCTCTAGTTCAGGGTGTGGCCGCTAAACGTGACAATTGGTGAAAAACGCAATAATTGCATTATTTTCTCGTAGTTTCTGTCTTGAATGAAGGCTGTCTCTATCGATTTTAGGGCCCAATCTTTTAATTTGGCAAGAAATCTTGGCGGCAAAATTTTTGTTCACTATTTCTTTAAACACGTTTTTTGCTCCTTTTGTCTTCGCAAGCGCACTTAATTTTCTGACCATGTTCACAAAGTGTAGCGTGGTCTCTATATAAACATTGGGGAAGATGGAGTTGGGTCTCTAATCTACGAATGCAAGCTGACTGTGCTTGATTTGCAGACACTTGGTATAAATAGTCTCCGTTGTTAGTGTTTCACAACATGTACAAGCATTGTAGTAAGTGGGCTACAAATGTCGGAACAGAAGTGTTCCTGAGTGCTTGGATCAAAATCAACTAAAGGTCGTTGTTGTTCGTAGATTGTTTCCTCTTAGTTTTTCAACTGGCTAAAGAAAGCTTGTCTATTGTGACTGTTGGATTGTTTTGTTCTTTTCATGGCTTGGACCAGGATGAGCCGATGACATCTCTTTGAAGATGTGCCTACTGCTTAGGGGAAGAGACGGGAACTTCTCGATGGATATACGTGCCCTATGCCATCTCCCCCTGGTTAGTCAGACGCGTTCCTCGTTTGGTAGAACCAACTGAACATCATTCAGTCTTTGTAATTGCGCTCCTTTTACAAGGTGCAGCCGAGAATCGTGCATTCAAAAAGATGCTGAACAGGGATAAAAAAAAATCTACAACTCCTTTTTATTGAAACCAAATGTCCCGATACATCTTTAATATCTTCTTTTATAAATGAGCGGCTTTCTTCTACGAATTCAGATCTTCCAAAACCAATAGCTTAATTTACATGACAAATGTAGTGCAGTTTCAAAGGTAGGACGAAAGCTATTATGAAAGCAGTTTTAGATTAAAAATATTTGATGTGAATGAAGCACTGCTTCAATGAAATTCACCCGTTCACTCAATATTACATCTTTTTTGGAATTATGGTGCCCTTTAATGACAGACCCAACCAAAGCTGATCTGCATTGAGCGCATATAGCCGCAAGTCCGCGAGGCGGGCCTTTGAGCTGCCACTCTAGGGCATGCTTCAGCTTAATACACATAGTGGGAAGCATGTATAAGGCAAACTGATAGAATAGAAATATGCACGCAAGACTTTATGGAAAATACTACTCATATACTGGCTTGCCAAAATAATGCACCTGGGTATGCAGTAGATTTTCTTATTCTGCTTCAGGTAATCAAGTTCCTCAGTTTACTCGACCTCAATCAGCAGTTCCAGCTGACCTCTATACATTCTATGAGGCACAATTTGGTTATTGTAATTCTGAGATTAGCCTTTACTGAAAAATTAGGTGATGCACGTAGCCGAAAATGTTCCTAGAAGGGAC